ACGCATGTTGTCAAATGCACTTCCGTGGTGGTATCCATAGCGAATAGTTGTGTTTAGTGAGTATACAGGGTTTGTCCGGAAAGTAATAGGACTGAGTCGATTTAAAAAAATTGATTGACCCAATCGTTACAATTCTTTAAAAACTTTCAAACTAGGCTCCTTCTGCGTCGATGCAGTGCTGCCAGCGCGATTTCCAAGCATTGAAGGCGTCACGGAAGGCATTCTCCGGAATAGCCTTGAGAGCCGCGGTGCATGCTGCTTGGATCCCCTCTGTCGTCTCAAAATGCTTGCCTTTCATAGACCTTTTCAGGCGAGGAAACAAAAAAAAAGTCCGGGGGGACCACATCTGGGCTGTACGGCGGCTGCGGAAGCGTTGGGATGCCGGCCTTGGTCAGGTAGCTGTTCACAAGAAAGGCGGTGTGAGCCGGGGCGTTGTCGTGGTGCAACTTCCAGTCGGCTGCGATGTCTTGTCGGACCTGACTGACCCTTCGTTTGAGTCTCCTGAGCACTTCCACGTAAAACTTGGCGTTGACGGTTTGTCCAGGAGGAACAAATTCATGGTGGACGATGCCTTTGATGTCAAAAACGACAGTAAGCATCGTTTTCATTTTGGATTTGCTCATTCTTCCCTTTTTTGGGCGAGGAGATGCTGTCGTGCGCCACTCGGAAGATTGCCTCTTTGTCTTGGGATCATACTCAAAGATCCACGACTTGTCACCTGTGATTACGTTATTCAAAAATTGGGGGTCACTTTCACACATGGTCAAATTTTCTTGGCACATTTCTACTCGCCGCAATTTCTGGTCGTCAGTGAGCACTTTTGGGACCATCTTCGCGCAGACCTTACGCATGTTCAAATGCTGTGTCGTAATGTCATGAACCACAGATTTTGGTAAATTTAACATCTGGGCAATTAAACGAATACTTAGTCGACGGCCTGAGTTCAAAACTTTGCGCACACGAGTCACATTATCGGTGTTTGTCGAAGTCGAAGGTCTTCCAGCACGGTCTTCATCAGCGACCTCTTCCTGGCCCTCCAAAAAGGCCTGGTGCCACCGAAACACATCACTTCTTGCTGAAGCAACACCTGGGTAAACCTGCTTGATCATATCAAATGTCTCTGTCGCAGATTTACCGAGTTTCACACAGAATTTAATCGCGTACCTCTGCTCTAACGAACGCTGCATTCTCGGCTTGCACCACTCACAGAAACACGTCGCGCGAAAATGCCTGTCCTGACTCTCCAAGTACTCGGAGACGACTGACCAGCCGCTCATTCGTTAGCTAGGAACGCCCTCTACCGAATTCAGTCGGTGTGCGCACGCTCCGAGGTACAGTCATGGCGGAAGAAAATGAGTCCTATTACTTTCCGGATAAACCCTGTACGTCATTTTTGGTGCACACACATTTCGGGCAGGAAATGATAAAAGGTATCTATCGAGCTTGCTCCTATCTAAAAAGAAGCTACTGATATACCCTTGGGGAAGATTTATACTGGGATGTCAGTGAATCGTCTTCGAAGAACAACAACGTTGACGTACACCTATTGATGCTCGTAATAATGATTGTTTTCTGCTGGCATGACAATCAAAACACATTCTGCATTTGGCCCTATTTGATAAAGGCCGTTCTTATAAGTAACTGAACTACAGAAGTATTTTGATGGTAATATCGTAACGTCGCAGGAGATTTCATTGCCGATCGACGAATCAGTGGTTCTAACCCTTGGACGACTAAATTCAGTGACCGATCCACTTGTTACGACATCCGGATATTGCTACCATATACTCCAGCATTGTACGTAAAATGAACAAGCACGATCTATCCTTCTGGCTTACCCAGGTTGGCTGATGCTAACGAGACAGGCTATAGTTGAAACATGCATGACCATGCCAATGCCATATAGATAATGGAGAACATATACAACAGTAATGCAGGTTAAGGACAAGTCACACTACCCACACCCAGTGTCAACTCTTGGCTTCACTTAGCGTTTGTGTCGCTCCTAACGAGCTGTGTGTGCTTCAAAATGAAAATCAATTCCAGCAGGACGCGCTTCATCTCTTTTACGTCGCTCACTTCCGAGCTGCTATCTGACCTATGTGTGCAAATTGCTTTCGAAGGCGTTTACTCGGAGCTCAGGAAATGCTGATTTTTATCATTATGATGAGGTGAGCCTTTAGGCAAAGACATGTTTACCTTAAACGTGAAGAAAACCAATAAACCAATATAATGGGACTTACTACCTTATCTCAGAATCAGTTGAGCGTACAAGCTTTTTGAGTTACCACAAATATTTATTTAACTAGATTTTTGAATATACAGGGTGTTTCACTTTATTGTTGCACAACTTTAAGACTCGATAGAACTTTTAAAATTAATGCATAAAGTCTATATAAACATGGGTCGAAAAATGCATGGCCAAATTTACTTTCTAAAATAGTTTTTTTTTAAATATTTCGAACAATATTTGATGTATGACAGTGAAAATTGGTATACAAGGGTTTTTTTGGTACGACAAAACGAACCATGGGCATAGTTTTACTGTAGCCGCTAGAGGGCGCTCTCTGCTGTACCTGTAGTGTATTAAAATGACCGAAATTTTTTTCTTAGTGCAATTTTTTGGTTTTTGAATAAAAAAAACTGATTCTTCGCACCTTTCAACATAAAAAAGCTCTCTTGTGAGTTTTGAGATATTTAGATTTTTAAGGTTCGATGCATTTTTAATTATTTATGATAAAATAACGTTGAAAAGTCAGTATCTCGATAATTTTTAGAAGTAGGCTGTGCCTCCAAATATTTTTGAAATTGAAAGCAGAATAAGGTTAAACGTCAATTAGCTGACAGTTAGTTTTGTTTGTTGAAACCTGAAAGGTTTTTTGCAATTGTGAATGCACGAAATTTAGTTTCTTTTACCTGTTTTTTTTTGTAAGTTTTATAAAAATGCCATTTTCCGATCAAGAGTTAGCGGATATTCATTTTGTGTATGGATTTGTAAATGGAAATGCAGCAGAAGTAGCCAGAGAATACGCACGAAGATTCCCAAACAGACGACATCCAACTCGCTCAGTATTTGTAAGAGTGGATTGCCAAATAATTGAAAATGGTTTTGGAAATCTCCAATGGGATCAAAACATAAATGTTTGTCAGCGCAGATTTACCCGTATGATTCTGCGTGAGTTTGATAGAGATCCGACCACAAGTGTTAGGAGAGTTTCTGGTGCCTTGGGAACTTCAGCAAGCCATGTTCACCGTATTCTTAGAAATGACCATACCATTTGCAACCTGTGCAAGGACTACAGCCAGGGGACGGAGAACGAAGAATCACATTTTGTCAGTAGATTCTTGATAGAACTGATAATAATAGGGAGTTTTTAAGTAACGTTTTATGGACCGATGAGTCATGCTTCACTAGACGTGGAGTGGTAAATTTTCATAATCAACATATTTGGTCGCATGAAAATCCGCATGCAGTTCGGGAAAGAAATCTTCAGCATGAATTTAGTGTGAACGTGTGGATTGGTATCTACCGTAATCGACCATTTGGACCCTACCTTTTGCCTGCAAGGTTAAATGCTGCAACCTTCTTGGAATTTCTAAAGGCTGAACATGCAAATATGTGGGATGATTTACGTTAGATTTAAGAAGATTGGCCTGGTTCCAGCTTGATGGTTGTCCAGCTCATTATTCGAGAATAGTTAGAAACTGGCTGGACGAAAATTATCCAGAAAGATGGATCGGCCGTGGAGGACCAGTTGCCTGACCTCCACGATCCCCTGACCTAAATCCATTAGATTTCTTTGTGAGGGGATTTCTAAAAGAAAAAGTGTACCAGACTCCCGTAACCACAAGAGATATGCTAATAGACAGAATCAGGAATGCATGTGATGAAATAAGGCCTTATTTGAATAATGATATACCACGTTCGATCATTCGTAGATGTGAATTGTGTATTGAACAATTGGGTTTACATTTCGAGCAACTACTTTAGATTTTGTATGTTTGTCCTAACTATCCAATAGCATTTTATTTGTAAATAATTAATTTAACTTGTTAAAAATAATATTGGAAAATTAAACAAATTAATATTCTGTTTTTTTGTGTTTATTTGGAGTTAGGAATTATTGCTGTGTTTAAAAACACAAACGATCATATTAATTACTTGTAATGGCCAAATCGAAAATGTAAAAAAAAAATACTATTTTCCCATAAATAATTAAAAATGCATCGAACCTTAAAAATCGAAATATCTCAAAAACGGCTAACTATAACGAAAACTCAGAAGAGAGCTTTTAAAAGTGCGAAGAATCAGTTTTTTTATTTAAAAAGCAAAAAATTGCACTAAGATAAAATTTTCGGTCATTTTAATACACTACAGGTACAGTAGAGAGCGCCCTCTAGCGGCTACAGTAAAACTATGCCCATGGTTCGTTTTGCGTACCAAAAAACCCTTGTATACCAATTTTCACTGTTATACATCAAATATTGTTCGAAATATTAAAAAAAAACTATTTTAGAAAGTAAATTTAAACACCCTGTATTTCGGAAGCCACGCATTTTTCGACCCATGTTTATATAGACTTTATGCATTAATTTTAAAAGTTCTATCGAATCTTAAAGTTCTGCAACAATAAACTGAAACAACCTGTATATGGAGATCGGATTTGTCATAACATCAACTTGATTTAGTGAAATGGTGGGTAATGTGGTGCGAGACCTTTTTAAAACTGAAAATAAATAAGTTCTGAATCCAGTTTTTATATTTAATATCACATATTTCAGGTACTATTGAACCGATTTTGTCGGAATTTTGCACGATTACTAAGCTACCTTGATGTAAACAAAAACTTGACGGAAAAATCCAGAAGATTGGAGATGCATCCACCAAAATATATTATATGTATACTCCTAACAGTCGTGAATTCAAATCCACCTTAACAGCTGGACAATGTTTAGTAAGATATTATAGCCAGATAGGCATCAGAACTCGCAATACTTACCCTGTTCCTTTTCATCCATCTGTGATGAGCTTCGGTTTGCTTGAGGCGGTGTTGCCGCGCTTCCTCTGAGAGCGAGCAGCGCCTTCCTCGTTCTCTTTCTTGCCATGCTGCACGACCTTGGGAACACTGCAAAGGAAAGTAAAACTTAGAGATGGTGATGCTTAAGCACGCGCTGCATTCGAGTAAATGTCAATTAACAGATTACCTATGGCATATAAGTCAGACTGTTGCTACATGAAATAAAGCTGGCTAAAGTACAGTAAAAAAGTTTTTTTCACTACTTTATATATACTATAAGCTATTGTACATGAAAAGGCACCAAGCACCACGATCATCCAGTAGATTCGCTCATTAATAAGGAATCCAATCGATAACACGCTTCCCTAGGGAATAATTATTTCCTGTATGAATTCTAAACTTAACCATCCAATAAAATATGCGTGATAGCAATGGAAGTTGACAAAAAATAAACGGTATTTCTTGAAGCCCAAATGACCATCTTCTGTCTTTTGAATTTTTAAACGATTATCAGAAGAGCGACGATGAATAAAAGCTTGGAACAAGATAAATCAACAATTATTAACAAATCTAGTAAGGCGTTTAAAGATAATCACTGCTCAGTGTTTTACCTGACAGGTAGCTACCTCATGCATGTACGCACTTGGCTAAGCTCTGCTTATCGTACCTGAAAATATTTATATGGATAGGCGAGTCAAATATTGCCACTCATCTTGCACGTCAGCTCTCGCTGTTGCAACATGTATAAGAGTATATACGTATAATCTATATGGAAATTCACTACGTCAGATGTCATAAATTACTCAACTGCGGTTTTCACTTTCGTTATGATCCCATCTATCACTACGCAGTATTTGCCTGTATTAAATTTTTTCTTCCTGATTTGATTGAAACAACCTATTATATGGAGAACAAAGTCAGCCCTAGAAAAAGATTCTGGCCGGTCTCATTTGGAAGAACCTCAACGGAGCTGCTCTGGATAGCGACTACTAAAATTACAGTGGCAAGAAGATGATGATATGCAGTGTGTGTCCCCTCAAACAAATCAGTCGGTCCTGTTGAGTAATTCTTACTGGTAATAATACAGGGTGGGCCAAAAGAAGCTGACCTATTTTGAACTTTAAAAACTTTTTTATTTATTAATATTTTTTAATGTAGTTTTTACAAAAATAAAATATAATTCTTGGAGTTTTTTTCGTATTAAGTTTGAAAAATAATGTCGCGTAAGTGACGGCCATTTCTCTCTTTCACACACAACATTCCTTCCAAGACATTGTCCATAACTGCCTCCAATGTTTCTCGATTTATGGCTCGAATTTCCATTATGATATTGTCCATAAGTTGTCTTAAGGTTCGGGGTTAATTGCGGTAAACTCTTTCTTTCAAATATCCCCATAGATAAGAATCTGGCGCGGTCAAATCAGGGGAACGTGGGGGATATTCAATAGCCGACCTTTTTGAAATATTTGCTGAAAACGAATGGCATAATTTAGTCGTTGTGCATAATCTTGTGGTCGTAAGTGCTGAACTATTTGAATTTTGTAAGGAAACATCCACAAATGTTTCCAAATTCTTCTGAGGGATGTCCTGGAGAGGCCTAATTGAGTTGACCTTCTTCTGGTCGATGTTTCGGGGTCCTCCTGAACACTTTCCTCTACTCTCTCTATGTTTTCTCCAGTGAAAGCTAAACGTGGTCGTCCAGTTCGGGGAAGGTCCGATACAGAACCCTGGGTTTGAAAACGCCGAATAATGCTGCGGATAGCCCCAGCGAATGGTGCGTCTCGAACATTAAAAAATCTTCGATAAGCTCTCTTGGTGTTTACAGTCGAATGATTATGTTCATAGTAAAATTTTACGACTTTGGTTCTCTGGATTAGATTAAGTCTCTCCATTCTAAAATATCCAGAGCTCTACTTTGTAAATCTGAAAAAAAAATCAAATATGTTAACTTGGGAAAAACATTTTTAAAATCAGTCAGGAACTTTTGGCCCACCCTGTATATCATTCACACATACCAACGGCATTTATTGTATAGAACACTCCATCACAGAAGATGATGGTTACAGAATACAAATGGCAACTTATTCAATGGCTTCAAAACATATGCGTTGGATTCCTGAGTTCTGATTATATGGTTTGAATCAGCCATGTTCTTCGTATAAATGTTTTCATCAGATGAGCATACACAAAAATATATGCTCATTAAATTTTACGTTATCCCCGGATCACCAACAGGTGATAGGTTTCTTAATACTAAGCTATTGTCCTAATACGATTTCAGCACGTTGTTATGGAGGAATTAAATGCAACTTTAAATGTTTCTTCTGGAAGGGTCATAAATTATTCCAAAATCATCAATCATCAAAGGGAAAACGGAGAGGGAAGAGAATTGTCGGAAAAATGTTGAGCAATTATTATATATTAACAAACTGCGAGCATATATTGTCCAGATGGTTGCAGCGCACGGTGTTTATTATGCTAATGTTGTTGTTGTGTATATAAAAGTTTGAAGAGGGTGTAAAACTCCGCCACCGCTTGAAAAACCCTGGAACAAAATAAAACAACGCACTATATTGTTAACGGTATAAGCGAATGACGATGGAGGCGGTTCATAAATATGCCGAGCAGGCAAAGTATTGTTTTGGTTTATGCGAGGTGAATTTGCTAAGTGAAAGGTCCAACGACATCTGCGAAACTGGAGGGTTTGAAACTGTGAATAAGTGTGAAAGTGCGTTATTACTGAGGGTATTAGTATCAGCGGCGGCTCGTGGTCTATGATACAGGGGGTTCACAAGTGGTATAAAATAATTTTTTTTGCCACCACCAAAATTTTTATGTAATGCGTGACGTAGAAGGCAATAAGAGTACTAAAACAAGCATCAAGGACACATTTTTGTTATTTTTTTATTATACACAAGAAAATACATTTATAAAAAATACATTTTTTTTAATGAGAACAGTGTTTAAACGTAAAGTCCATTCTCCTGATTTTATTTGCAGAAAATTTATCAATAACTAACTCGTTAAAGTTTGGTATACCCGCTATACATTTTTTCTCGATAGATAGCATTGCTAGCGCTGACAGTCTTTCTTCATTCATAGAACTTCGCAAAAATGTTTTTATTCTCTTCAATGTCGAAAAGCATCTTTCACTTTCGGCCGTAGTCATTGGTATGGTAACAATTATTTGTAAAAGTGTAAAGGTGTCAGAAAATATGCTCTGAAGATTATTTTCTATAAAAAACACTAACAAACTAATGGCACCAGTCATATTCCTGAAGTCAGGTCGCCGGTAAATTAATTCCAATTCAGTCTGGAGACGAACTCTATCTAAAAACGAATATGCTTCTACTACAGTTTCCAAATATTGCAATGGAAAATGCTTTTCAAATTATGGAAATTTATCAGAAGAAAGAAGAATAGCTGCATTTAAATGTTTTGTAAAAGAAAATCTATCTGTTACATGTGTAATTATGGTATCACAAACTTCCTTGGCTGCAACAGCTCTGCAAATATGCTGGTCTTCATTTGCACGACGCTTTTTAGTTTGAGTAGTAGTGGTATCTTCAGAAATTTCAGTTTCAATTGTTTCCAAGCAGTCTCTCTCTTTTTGGATGCAGTTTTCAAAACACTTTATGGCAGTCTGAATTTGCCCTGGGTCAGTCACTGTTTTTTGTAACTGATTATATAAAATATCAGCATGTGGCAATATTCGATGAAATACAGTTAGCCAGAACACAAACTTAGAATCTTGTAGCATACGGCCAATACCAGTGGCTTGATTGATGGTAACAGTTTGTTTTGAAGTAGCTTCTATTTTTTCCATGCATTCTATTAACAATTCGCGATATTCATATACTGCATTTATAGATCTGCTTTTAAAATTTTAAAATTCCATCTTGTAACAGAAGAACTTGGAACTCTTGCACCAACAATGTCATCCAAAACTGCAACTCGTTGTGGAGAATGAGAAAAAAAAGTTGAAATATCGCTTAAATTTGAAAAAAATACCCTCACTTCTTGATTTTGGCTTGTAGCTTGCAATAAAATCAAATTTAGCTGGTGGGCATAACAATGAACGAAATAAGCATAAATATAATCACGTTGAATAAGAGCTTGAACACCTCCATGACGTCCACTCATTACACTAACGCCGTCATAACTTTGAGCTATCAGCTTTTTCTGGTTTATCTAGCACTTGTATTAAATTAGTTCTCACACATTCTGAGAGACTAACTGCATCGTGGTCAGGGGCGGTAACAAAATTTCAAAAACGTTCAACTGGCCTTCCATCTGGTAGAATGTACCTAAATACTGTAGTCATTTGATAACAATTAGCTACATCCGTTGTTTCGTCAGCCATAACAGCAACAAATTCAGCTTCCAAAATTTCTTTTCTTATATTTTCCTGAGCCACTTGTAACATGCAATCTAACAATTCGTTTTGAATGATTTTTGATACCCCTTTGTATACTGTCGATTTTTCAAAATGATCTTTATGTGCTATATCTAATTCGGCAGTGAAATTTATTAAACCTCTAAAAATACCAGGATTTGATGAACCATCTTTTTCGTCGTGACCGCGGAGGGCTAATTCAAAAGCTCCGCAAAATTTTATGCAATCAATAATTTTTGAAAGCACATACCTATTCTTTCTAACTTGTTCATTCTGCTGTTGAATACTGCGCCTATATGCACTGTCCAACTGCTGCCGTATATCTACTTTTCCCAAAAGCTGCATTTCCAGTTGCGCATTGATATGGACTTGAGTGTTTTCATGTTTCTTAATTTTTTGTGCTAAATGTCCCAAGTCGGCTATTCCATTTTTTGTCCAGGCAGGCTCTGCAACCCCGTGACCAAACAACAAACAGGAAAAACAAAATCAACGGTTTGTTGTGCTGCATCCACAAATCCAGTTATTCTTTTCATATATTTCCATTTTAAACTTTCTAATAAAGTCTCTAGATTTACCCTTTGTGGTCTGAGTTAAGTTAATTTCTGGTGTAGGTCTTCCCGCATTTTTTATTTCAATTTTTTGCTCCAAACTTAATGAACTGAAGTTATGTTTCAAATATTCCACAGTGAAACCATTCATTTTAACTCAATATTTTATTAAAACACTGCTACGAACATAAAAATTCGAACACACCTCCGATTACTGCATAAAATGCACGCGCAACGGACAATGGCGCACTCCAGAAGTGTGCGCCTTCTCCAACTAAAATTGCCATAACCCCGCTATACCCCGCAACCAGAACAGCAGGGTGAGAAACACACTAATCCCGCGTAAACATGATCGCATATGCGACTATTCGTCCATCCGCCGTCACCCGTCGGCGGCAGTCGGAGCGGGCCAGACCGAATCACAAGTCGGAATCGCCCGAATCAGGCAGCGCAGCGGTAAGAGTGGTGACTCACCAGTGGAGAGCTACTAGATCTTTGATTTTATACGATTAAATATCAGGGAGGCTCAGACTTTATTTGAGAAATTATTAAATGGATGTTATACATATTTATTATTATTTATTTTGGGGGTGCACGTGCTCATGTGCTCCTACAGTGGAACCGCCACCTCTGATTTCACATCACATCGGAGCCAAACATTGATAACTGAACCATCATGACGTTTAGGCAACATTTACACCTACAAAACAAGTTCACAACAAGTGTCCATCAGCTAGTGCTGAGTTAGCATCTTTAAGGCCCGTATCGTCAGTCGTCCCTACAATTGTAGGGCGCCTTTATGGCCCCCTTGATTGTCATAGTTTTCTACTTCTCCGTGTCAGCGCTCTATTTTGAGGTTATGTCGCAAACATCTATTTGCATCAAATTGTGCTTGCTTTTGAGTTATATCATATTTTATCAGCCTGAAATTTCCTACAATTTAAAAAGTAAACATATCTTTACAATAGGAGAGCGTTGACGCTGACACGGGACAAGTGTAATCTAGAAATTTTTGAAGGAGAGAAAGGAGTATGACAATCAAGGAGGCCATAAACGCGCCCTACAATTGTAGGGACGACTGACGATACGGGCCTTAGAAAAACCTACATAATGTCACAAAAAATCAATAGAATGTCCAAAAACATCGCCATAATGTCACTTTTCAAGATGCTTAATACCCGTGCGGGTTGAGCAATAAAATTGATTCTAAATCAACTCAACTACCACTGACACTATGAGAAAAACCAAAGGAATGTCCGAACACATTGTGTGTGCCATAACCTTACCTTCTCCTGTAACATCATTGGTCACTGTTTGACAAACACTAACGTCATTTCCCGGCCATGATTTTAACAGCGCTCTTGTAATATGGTATTTTCGTCGTTGCCCAACGTGGCTGGGCATTAACGTTATCATCAGGCAAATAACGCCAATGTCCAATTATTGGCCTTGTCCGATATACATAGAAAAACTATGTACATACCAATATTTTGTAAATTATCAGCTAGTTAGAGTGATCGATTGAATATGCAGTATTCCGGTTTGTCTGGTTCGAGGAATATAGAAATGTATCAATACCTCACAGCATCTTGCCTTTCTCGTCGCCCATTTCCAATTTACGTCGTTCCGATGAATTGCAATTCCTTCGAGTGTTTTCTTCGTCCGATTCCATCCTTATCAATGAAGTATAATACGCAATACGCCAATTCAATTACCGGCTTCAATAAAATGTTCATCTGTGTTGTTATGGCGAGCTGTCCTCCAAATGAATATTGCTGGAATTTTTATTAAACATTGCAGGAAACACATGAGCGTAAGCAGGGGTAGAGGACACGTTTCACGTACAATTTGTATTACGTTCCTATGAACGGTTATGTACTTGAGAGGACCTACTAAGATATTTCGCTTATTGATGATAAACTCTTTTTACATGTATGGGTATGAGCTCAAACCTCGGCTACCTTATATTTCTCTATTCT